AGGACTGTAGCTCTATTTAAGCACATTAGCAGTCCTTTGTGCCTTCTGTGTTAATGTAAATCGTGTAGGAGTGAATGGGAATCTAGCCTAACAGAAGGGACTGTAGCTGCAATAAAACCCATTAACAGTCCCAAGTACCCTCTGCAGTCATGAAAAGAGAGTGAGGTGGGAATGGAATCCTAGGTTAAAAAACGGGGGGAGGGGGATTGTACATGCATTTAAAAGCACATTAACAGTCCCTTGTGTCCTCTTTGGTAATCTAAAGGGAATAAGGAGGGGATGGGATCGTAGGCTAAGATAAGGGACAGTAGTACAATTAAGCCCATTAGCAAGTTCTATGTAGGCTCTGCAGTAATGAAAAGGGAGATAGTTGGGGATGGGATCCTAGGTTAACATAAGGGACTACAGCTGCATTTAAGGACATTAACAGTCCCTTGTACCCTCTGTGGTAATGCAAATCCAACAAGAAGGAAACTGATTCTAGATTAACAGAAGGGACTGTATCTGCAATAAAGCCCATTAACAGTCCGTTGTCCCCCTTTTGGTAATACAAATAGAGTAGGAGGGCATGGGACTCTGCTAACAGAAGGGACTGTAGCTCTAATTGAGCCTATTAACAGTCCCAAGTACCCTCTGCAGTCATGCAAAGAGATTTAGACAGGAATGGGATCATAGGTAAACGTAAGAGACTATAGATGCATTTAAGCACAGTAACAGCCTCTCATACATTCTGGGGTAACACAAATTGAGTAGGAGGGATGGGATTCTAGACTAACAGAAGGGACAGCAGTACAATTAAGCCCATTAACAAGTCCATGTAGGCTCTGCATTAATGCAAAAGGAGTTGGGGGGGATGGGTTCCTAGGTTAACATAAGGGACTGTAGCTCCACTTAAGCACATTAACAGTCCCTTGTGCCCTTTGTGGTAATGCAAATCGAGTAGGAAGGGAATGGATTCTAGAGTGACAAAAGGAACTGTAGCTGCAATAAAGCTCATTAACAGTTCCAAGTACCCTCCGCAGTACCCTCCTCACTCAAAGGGAGTTAGGTGGGGATGGGTTCCTAGGTTAACATAAGGGACTGTAGCTGTCTAAGTCCATTATCAGTCCCTTGTACTGCCTGTAGTAATGCAAATCATCTAGGAGGGGAATGGGTGCTAGACTAACAGAGGGGTCTGTAGCTGCAATCAAGCCCATTAACTGCCGGAAGTATCCTCTGCTGTAATGCAAAGGCAGTTAGTTGGGGATGGGATTCTAGTTTAAAGAAAGGAGTCATTGGGACTGCAATTTTGCACATGAACAGTGTCAGGAAATGGCCTTAGATAATTAGCACCTTTCAGAAGTAAAGATGGTGCAGGGTTCCTGATACAAAAGGCTCAGGCGTAATCAATTAGGTTTGTGCACATAAAATGTCCTAGTGCAGAGTTCTTAAGTAGTAAGGGTCCTCTGCCAGAATACAAAGTGGGTGGGTGTGACTAATTCACAGGACATTAACAAATGCAACTATGAACATTATCAATTCAAGAGAAGGTTCCTTGAGAGTCTGACCCATATAGCATGCAAATGGGATACAGTGGCCCATTAAAATGGACAGGACTCTGGACAACTGCAACTGTGCAAATTAACTGTCCAAAAGCTGAGTTCTTGAATAATCTGCATGACCTAGCAGTATTCCACCGAGTGTGGGATTTCATTTTTTATTGCATGGGACCATAGATATATGTAATTATGCACATCAATTGTTTAATAAGAGAAGGGACTTTGGGTAATCAGAACTCCTCAGAAGAAATGGCACAGAGGTAAGGGATATCCTAGACTAATGGATGGGACCATGGGAAATGAGGATTTTACATATTAATGCAAAGTGATAGGTAGTCTGAACTGCCTAGGAGCAATGAAGAGCATGGGCGGGTCTTACCTGTTAAGCAGGACCATGACTAACAGTAATTGTACCCATTAATATACCAAAGTAAAGGACTTTGAGGATGAGCACTTCTGCTGTAGTGCAAAAAAGTTGCAGAGGACTTGTGTAATGAACAATTGGGATTCTTCTCATTAATAATTCAAGGAAGATGGTCTCAGGTAGTCAGCAGTGCCTAATAGCAATGCGAATGGGATGGAGGGTCATTGATTAATGGGGAAGACGATGTACAGTTTGGTACTTTAATTGTCCAAGAACAGCAGGACTCCCGAAAAGCAGAGCAAAATTGGTAGGATGCCTTTGTTTAATGGACAAGGCTATGACAATTGGGACTGAGCACATTAACTGTGGAACAAAAAATCTGGGTTTTCTGTGCCCCCTGCTGAATGCAAAAGGGTTTTTGACTGGGATCTAATCCAATGGGCAGGATTATGAACAATTAGAATTTCACTCAGTGCAAAGAGTTTAGGTGGTCAGCACGGTATATATGCACTGTCCAGAAAACTGGGATTGTGACTACTGCATCAATGACAGAGGAATGGTTTCTCCTTCCTTAAGGACAGGGGATTGAGAAGATTGAGTAACTAGACTTATGAAAGCTCTCAATTAATTAACATTTCCTAACATTAATGCAAAGGGTGTGTGGATTCTTTGTTCTAACATGGGACAATGGACAAAAGGGATTCTGTACATTAATTGAAAATGGTGACTCAGGTAGTCAGCATTCAATATCTGCAATGCTAGAGGCAGACAGGGTATCCCAGTCTACTGGGTGAGCAACGTGGACAACTTATTTTTAGCACTGAATCAATGCGAATTTCACGGGCTTTAGGGAGAAACAGGACTGAGGCTGGGCTGGGGCTGGGGCTGGGGCTGGGGCTGGGGCAGGGGCCGGGGCAGGGGCTGGGGCAGGGCCAGGGGCTGGGGCTGGGGCTGGGGCTGGGGCTGGGGCCGGGGCCGGGGCTGGGGCCGGGGCTGGGGCCGGGGCCGGGGCTGGGGCCATTAAGGGGGTTGCTGGGAAAAGGGCTGGGGTGGAGCTAGAGGCTGTGGAGTCAAGGAACCACAGAAAACTGAAATTATGAGCAATAATACTCCAATATAATAAGTTCGAATAGAAGAAGCAAGTCCACAGCAATTCAAGTTTCCTGCAGATAGGTGGGTCATTAGTCAATTAGTGCAGCATTAAGGGTGAGAACAAAGCAAGGCCTGGACCGGAGTGGACCTTCAAATATTCCTTTTTACATTCAGTCATAAAGTTAAATTTTTAATTAACTACTTCTGTGCTATAAGACTCTTCAAAAATCCAAAGGGAAGTAGTTTATTAAGTCAGCCCCAAAGTAAAAAATAGTAAAAACTTTAAAATGGCTTATTATTTTACTTTGAACATCTAAAGACAAAAAAAGTTTAAGCAATTTGTAGAAAAAGAAACTGAAAACTTTAAGGAAATTTAAAGGAACCCAAACATGAAAACCAATTAAATGTAACTGAAATGAAGTCTACAAATAAAGCCCCTAAATACATTTCCATAGTAGTCCCTTAAGGCTTAAATCGAACACTAGCAAACCACATAATCAAACTATGTATGACTAACATCCAAGAAACAAATAGAAATCAAAATCCGACCCCAGCATTAGCCATGGGGTAGGTGTTCCTCTTGAGGAAGGCAGGGAT